TTCTAATAAAGTAGAAAAATTATAGCAAACTAAAAAATTCTAATAAAGTAAGAAAGTTCTAATAAAGTAGAACAATTATAGCAAAGTAAAAAATTGTAATAAAGTAGAAAAATTAGAGCAAAATAAAAAATTCTAATAAAGTAAGAAAGTTCTAATAAAGTAGAAAAATTATAGCAAAGTAAAAAATTGTAATAAAGTAGAAAAATTAGAGCAAAATAAAAAATTCTAATAAAGTAAGAAAGTTCTAATAAAGTAGAAAAACTATAGCAAAGTAAAAAATTCTAATAAAGTAGAAAAACTAGAGCAAAGTAAAAAAATTCCAATAAATTAAAAAGGTTCTAATAAAGTAGAAAAACTATAGCAAAGTAAAAAAATTCTAATAAAGTAGAAAAACTATAGCAAAGTAAAAAAATTCTAATAAAGTAGAAAAATTATAGCAAACTAAAAAATTCTAATAAAGTAAGAAAGTTCTAATAAAAAGTAGAAAAGTTATAGCAAAGTAAAAAAATTCTAATAAAGTAGAAAAACTAATAAAGTAGCAAAGTAAAAAAATTCTAATAAAGTAAAAAGGTTCTAATAAAGTAGAAAAATTATAGCAAACTAAAAAATTCTAATAAAGTAAGAAAGTTCTAATAAAGTAGAAAAAGTAAAAAGTTCTAGTAAGGTAAAAGAGTTATAATAAAGTAAAAGAAAAAGTTATACTAAAGTAAGGCACAAATAATTGAATGAGATAGACAAGGAAGGTCGTGGGATCTCTCGTGCAAAGCTCGAGGTCGAACCGCATATTGATTTCGTACGAAGAAGCTGGACAAGTTCGAGTGGTTATACAAAAATGATCAATTAGAAATGTTGCCAATAAATGCAAGCGTCCGCAGTTTATCGATCGCACCAAGTAGCACACCCACGCAGTAGATTGTACATCGCTGAGCATGAAGTAGCCAGTTCGAGGATCCTTTGTCCCTTACGACGTTGTCCCCGCGCCCTGTTAATTTTCCATATGTCCGAGAACAAAAAAAAAAGCGAGATGTAACGACGTCGTTAAAGAAGCCACAACGGTGTACGAAANAAAAATTCTAATAAAGTAAGAAAGTTCTAATAAAGTAGAAAAAGTAAAAAGTTCTAGTAAGGTAAAAGAGTTATAATAAAGTAAAAGAAAAAGTTATACTAAAGTAAGGCACAAATAATTGAATGAGATAGACAAGGAAGGTCGTGGGATCTCTCGTGCAAAGCTCGAGGTCGAACCGCATATTGATTTCGTACGAAGAAGCTGGACAAGTTCGAGTGGTTATACAAAAATGATCAATTAGAAATGTTGCCAATAAATGCAAGCGTCCGCAGTTTATCGATCGCACCAAGTAGCACACCCACGCAGTAGATTGTACATCGCTGAGCATGAAGTAGCCAGTTCGAGGATCCTTTGTCCCTTACGACGTTGTCCCCGCGCCCTGTTAATTTTCCATATGTCCGAGAACAAAAAAAAAAGCGAGATGTAACGACGTCGTTAAAGAAGCCACAACGGTGTACGAAATCGGTTCCAGTCGCGACCGGTTGCCCGCCTTAACGATGTCGCCCGAGCAATTAGAGTGGCCATCATTATTCTCGCACGGGGCGTGGTTCCGTTAACGATCTTCACGTTTTCTAAACGATATAATTCGCCGGCCGCGGCGAGAGATTTTTCGATCTGTCGTTCCGTGTCTCCGAAACTCGCGCAACGTTCTAATTAGCGAATCGAAAGTGCATCGTTGTGGCTGCCCGTTCAGCGACGCATGCACGGCCAAGAAGGAAACGCTGAATCCGCGATCCGGGACTATTAGATGTCGCGCGTCGGTGGTTTCCGGGCCCAATCGGGCCCCGGTTTTGATCGTGCCCGCGTCGCTGACGTTCCACCGCTTGGGATTCGAAAGTTCAAGCTACCGTTTGTAAATAATCTACGTGAGAACTTCCAACTTAGAGCACACACGGCTGGTGTCGGTTGTTTAGGATATATTGGCTGCGATGCTGGGCGCGTTTCTGGGACGAGACAGGGACCCTAATCAGATTTATACCATGGCTAAAAACGCTTCCGAGGTTAGTACGCAAACAAAATTGTGAACGGACGAAACACGACCGTCAGGCTCTCGACGCTTTGCGGATCTCCATCGTCTGTTTTTCCCATTACGAACACTTTGCAGCTTTCTTGAAAGTTTCAATGATCATCGTTTTCCAATTTCTGTGTTTCATTCTGAATCTAGTCGGTTTAACATCTCGAAAAGATTCGAGCGACTTCGAACGATTTGAGAAGAGTTGTTCGGTTTGAAAAGCGCGTTAACGCCTCTTCAAATCGAACAACTTATTCCAAATCGTTCCAAATCGCTTGAATTTTTTATTTTTGAGACGTTATACCGATCAGTTTTCTAGAGTGTACGAGTGTACAGAAATTGAATGTACAAAAAATGTTTAGATTCCAATTGGTTGGAACGACACAAAAATTCGAAAACGATGTTTCGTCAACTTTTTCATCCGAGCTTGTAACGAAATTGATAAAGAAAATAAAAAGAAAATGCGTTTCGTAGATCAGGTTAGATCAGGATCGAGTGCGTTACCTCGAACGGGACACCCTGTATATGCGGATGCTGATAATTTCGTTGAAATCGATCGCCGGAGGCCGGCGCGCGGCGTATGCTCGGCTCGGTTAATTCGATCGGATGAAAAGTAGCTCGGCAAAGCGTCGAGGACCATAGTAAAATAGAAACTTACGCTTTCCTCGTGTAGAATGCTTCTACTCTGTTGACTCTGCACTCTTAGTTTCCCGGCGAGGACCCTTTCATCTCGAATTAAAACAATTGTACAGAGTGTTCGACGATCAAAGGGTCCGCGAGAGAAGCCGCTCCGATCCCGTACTAATTCGATTCCCGTTAAATAGTTCATTAACATAGTGGTGAACCTTCTGGACGCCTTGAAGACTTCGTTCTCTCACCGTTCGCTCACCGCTAGATCCATGGGGAAACGTGACACCATTTCCGAAGCTGCGGTCACCACGCTCACCATGCTCAAGGTAAACCCGCCGGGTCGATGCTTGTAAACGAATCTCGTTCGGTTTACAAGCTTCCGTGGAAAAAAATTATTGAAGAAGATTAAAAAAAAAAGAAAAACTGACTTCTACAAAAACTGAAGAATCTGTGCTTCGATCGCATTAATGTCGCGATGCTCCAAGACTCAGAGTCTATGTCTTGTTTCGATAGCTCGTGGATTTGTTGCTACGATGATATATATTTACAGTAAAAGTTACAATAAAATAAAATTTCAAGCTAGTACAAATCTAACTCCAACAACTAGATGCCGTGGATTTTATGCATTTACGACAAAAATGACTACAGTAATTTCTCCCTAATTCGCGTTCAGATTGCGCACAAAAATTGGACAATTGTGGAAGAAGAGATCCGATTATTCGAGCCTCGCGTCTCGTTTTTATAATTGTCGACAATCCGTAATTATAAAAACGAGTCGCGAGACTCCGATAATCGGATCTCCTCTTCCAAAATTGTTCATTTTCGTGCGCAATCCCAGCGCGAATTAGGGAGAAATTACCGCGGATCGAATACAAAACAGTTCGCAGAATTCGAACACGCGTTCGCATTATTTCGAAATCGTTGAAACGATGTCAACGTATACGTAGCTCCTGCGTCTTGCAATTAGCGTGACTATCGCTCGTGAACTTCCAATAAATAATTTTCCTCGCGAAAGATGTTTCGTTGCCGGTGAAAGCTACCCTAAGCCGTGATTTCAAGCTAAAAAATCGGCCATCGAACCGCTTCGTCGTTCACTGGAACCGGATGGAACGTTATTTTCAGGGTTACGTGAGATCGCTGAAGTCGTTCAACAACGTGGGCCGCGCCGAGGACGAAGGGCACCGAGGTTGCGCGGAGCGCGCCCTTTGCGAGGCGAGCGCCGAGTGCGTCGCTAAGTCCCAGGGCACCTCTTCCGTTTTCTGTCAGTTCGGATCGTAAGTGCATCAGCCTAATTAACGATACAGAGAAAGCGCGAACTATAGAAACTGTTTCTCTCGAAGGTACGCGACGAGCTACCTGCTGCAAAGGCAGAGCGGCGTGGCGTTCGACGCGCTTTACGAGGCGAGTCGACGAGGCCGCAGCGGAGAGGACTGCAGGACCGTTTTCCTGAACTGCAACGCCGTCTGAGAGTCTCTCGTCCCGATCACCTGAGTACGATTTAGGCCGCGTGGGACCCGAACGGATCCGGACTCGAACGCACCGATGCTCGAACGACTTAAAAACGTTCTTAAACGACCGAGTCGTACGCTTCGATCGATCGTTATCCTTGACAAGTTCGAGATCTTCGCTGGCAGCCCGAGCTGCTCGGGGTCCCGACGCTTATATCGCACTCAGAACAGCGAAGTAGCTTTATACGCGACGTGGAACATGCGGAACATCGTGTCGAGACCGACGGACTCGCCGGGAATCTCGGCGGGCCTAACCCTCGAGGCTCTCGGCCGCAGGACTCGGCTTATTCCCTCGACTGATTCGGCTCTATTTCGCGATCAACTAATCACTAATCGTTCTCGACTGGCCTATGTACCGCAGTAAAGTAACGCTCACGAGAATCGGCCGAGTTCTCGGCGAATGATCGCGAGTCCTCTCGTCGGAGAGTTCGTCCGCTTTACGGCGGAGACGAAACGGAAGACCTGAACGAACTCGAGGAACGCTCGGACAGGTCTCTCGATACTATTTATTTCTATTTATTGATTCTGAATAGACTGAGGATTTGATGCGTTCGTAAAGAAAAATGGCTAGGTGAAATTTTAAGCAACGAAAATATTCGAAGAATCCGAGAGGACATCTCTATGTATTATTTTTAACTGACTTGAGTCGCCGAAGGCGGACCAGAGATTTTCATTCGACTCATCTTTGTCGCAATTGACGAGGACAAGTTTTATTTTGCACGAAGATCCGCAGTCTAATTATGAGTAAACCTAGATAGTAGACACCGCTCGAAACTCGACCTCGGCTACGATGCCAGATGGGAGACGAAGCAATGAGATCGCGCCTCAGGAATCACGTCTCGTGGTGACGAGAAGCACAAGCCTCCCTGAATCGACAGAGCTCGAGTTTATCCTTTCGTATTTAATCCATAGTTTGTTCGCGGTTTGCGAGACAGAAATTCACTTTCGGGGAGGAAGACGAGCTTTGGGCAGCTGGATCATCGACGATCGGTAACGATAACGTGCTCGGCGGATCTTGGCACGGTCGGGCCGAGATTCGTCGTTGTGTGGCCCTCCCCTCGATTCGAACGAGTTAGCGTCTCAGGATACTATATTCGTTTTTTCGCCACCCGTTCGAGATTATCTACTGTATATAGGCAATTATATACGTACGCAGAGTGACCGGGTGGACCTTATCGCAATAGCCCGCGCTCTATTTAGCTCGGTTAGCGTTATCATTTAGAGTGTAAGCTGTATTTATGCGCGGATTGTATTTCAATCAAGCTAATAAACGGTCTCGTTCGCAAATGGTTCATACCCGCTTATCTAATCCTGTCTTTCCTTGTTAATTCCGATGTTTGTTTCAAGCGTTAAAAGCAATCTGAAAGCGACACGAAAAGTTTTCACTCTCTTAGCGGTGGGACCTTGAAAAATTTCGGAGCAAAAGTGGCTCGGAGCCACACACGCGGCCTATTATTTCGAATTATCTCGAAAAATAAATTTTTTCGAATTCTTTATAAACAGACATCACTCGTGTCATACTCGTTATTGATTACATTAATCGATTATTAACTTTTTCATTTCCGATTATCCAGATTGTAAAGATACGTTTACGAATTATTTGTTTAATACTTGTCTTGCTTTCGGCAAATATTACAATAACGCTTGTTGGAAATAAGAATGAAATGTCTTATTGTTGCTTTTATAAACTAATAAAAAAGAACAGCTGCTTTGATAGTGTTTCGTGAATCGAGTTAGTGTTCACGCGATAGAAATTGTGCGTTCTTTGCACTACGATCAAATGTCATACACTGATTATTGTAGTAATTTGTCGTCGTATTAAAATAGCAGAGCTGTCGACCTACATTTGTTAACAGCGAGAATTAATTCGAGCAGCCGGTATAAAAGCTACTTTTAATCGCTACGGTTTCTTCTGCAACAAATTAGCAACATCGAAGCCAGAGTGTCCGCTCCGAGGCTTCAACTAATTCCTCCACCGTCCCCTACGATTAAAAGAAGCTTAACCCGCCCGGCCACGATAAGAAACAATGGAACAATCGTGTTCGCAGCTGGTCAAAAATTCGCCGCGACCTCGATGACCGTCGCCGTTAAGTAAAGCAACGAGGACGACGTGTACTTAAACTGTGCGAACAGCGGAAAGGCGAACAAAGTGGCAGCAGGAAGGCGACAAGGAAGCTGCGAGCCGCGACAGAAAGCAGACGGAACGGACGGCTCGTTGGAAACAGTCCGGCATCGCGCGTCCTGAGGACAGTTCGCCGAAAAGTTGCGAAACAGCCGACGATTTATCGTGACCGAGGTGAGACGACGACCGTGACTCGGCTCGGACAGAGTTTCGCAATGGTGATCGCTGTTTCAGATGACGTTCAAGTCCTTGATGAACTTCGGGAACTTCGCTAAGGATTATTATTCTTCTCCCGTCGATCGGTACCACAGCGCCTCCAGGGGATACCATCATGGCGGAGGGTGGCAGAGTTCGCGAGGGTAATTATGCCTGTGCACTTCGATCCACCGGTTTTTTTCGCTACAACGTTCAATTTTCTACTGTAATTTTTATATAATTTTTATGTGAATAAACAAAATTTGGTTCGACTTTATCTACCTTTCCAAGGATCACCGGTAAAATAATTTACATGTAGAAGATCTCTTAGACTTTCTGCTAAAAATGCCAGAGAATTTGGAACGAACAGTAAAATGGTGGATCTCTTATCGACAGAATTCACGAATTAATGAACAAAAAGAACCGTTGCAATCGTGTGATCGCTTTCGTAGGAATTCGAAGGGTAAAGGTGACGGGAGTGGAGCAGCGTTGAGTGCCTTGACCTTGCTTGCCTTTCTGTTCCTGATAAATGTCATGCAGGTATGTATCTATCAATTATCAGAAATAAGTTATCTTACGTACTTATTATCGCCGATTTCAAGCCGTTAGAACGGATTAAAATAAAGAGAAGTCTGAAATGAGAGATACAGTTCTTTTTGTACTAAGCCTCTTTGCGATCGACGCCATTTTTACTCTAGCATCATACTTTGTCAACGAACCTGTTTTACGCACAAGCAAAAATTAAATTCACCATCGACTAGATTGAAGAGCTCGCGAAAGATGAAATTAGCGAAACGAACGACATTTGAACTTGTTTCTGCTTGCAGCAATCCTTGCAGGACACGAACTCGACGATGCCAACGATGGCCACCGCGGTGTTGCTTCGGGACGGCGAGCTTCCGGTGGTCCTCGACACGAAGGATGAGGTGGAATTGAAGAAGCAGGACGAGGCGAGGCACAGGACACCAGCGAAATCCAAGATTCAAAGGCTTAACAATCAGTATATTAAATAAAACGAATCGGTACATAATGATTGATACACGATAGTAGTCGAAAAAGGATGGAGAAAATCAACACGGATCGATCGGATTGGAAGCTGCTTCGCGCTCGTTTAACAATCCATCCTTGACGCCGCCTTTTACATCTGTATTTTTAAGATAATATTTATTTGAATCATTCTGTAACAATTCCTTAAACGGATGTGCCTCTCACGAAATACCGTATATTAATAGCGTAACGCTTGTTATTCTCTTAATGCACTCTCTTCTAGCTCGCTTCGACGTTCATATTTGTATTCGTTCCTTCTCGTTTCACCGTTTTTCGGTTTTCACCGTTTTAATTCCCGGTCTCGGTTAATTTACCCGCTAGATTTAATTATATACATATAGAATCTGTTTTCTGTTCTCAATTGGAATCAATGTAATCAGCCGTATAATTTCTTTTAAGAATAAACAGACATATATACAGCGAAAAATCTTGATCTCTTCTCGTCATCGACTATATCATCTTTTCACGTTTCTGTCGCACGGTTTTTTCCCTTCTTCATTTTTATCTTTTTTTTTTTTGGTTTTTGGTTTTTGGTTTTTGTTACGTTACGATTTTCACGGCGCGCTCGAACCTCGGGCGGGCGCGCGATCGAACTGACACTTCCGGTGGTCGACGCGGGAACTCAGTCGAAAGATTATTTATAAGAATAGACTCTATAGGAATAATTAATGCTGTTCCTCAGAAAATAACAGGCTTAGAGCCGTCCACGACGAAGCTTCTCGCTTGTTTCTACGCGACGCACTTCCCTTCTAAACCGCTTCTCACCTTTTCTTTAGTATTTTTTTTTAGCTTTTTTGTCTCCCGTCTCTTCGTTTTCGCGTTTTCGCGCTTTCTTTTCTTTCTTTTTGCTTTTTTTGTTTTAAATGGGTGTATCTCGTTTCGCCCCGACCCGGTCGCGATGCTTTTCTCAATCGACGACGAACACCGCGACCTAGTACGTTCTCCGAACTTTCTCCGAGCATGGCGTCACTCGTGGCGACGAACAACAAAATGGCGTGCGAGATTTCCGGCTCTGACGAGGACTTGGATCGCTCTCGCGTCGAGAACTTTCGGGGAATCGTTTTTCTCCGCTTTTCGCTGCGATCTTTTCCGTTCATCTCTCACTTCTCAACGATTTGCCGCGCTGAAACGCAAGCGACAAGATGGCCGCTGCCTCGTTCCCGACGCGCGATCGATCGCAGGCCTCGGATTTTTGTACGTAACGTTACCAGCTAAGCATCAGCGCTAAATTGATTAGCTCTTTACAACTTTTCGAAGGCGAGAGAGCATTCTAGAGACTAGAGGAACGCAATTTGAAATGATTGAGCCACCCGTCGGTATACGCAAACAATCTTTTATTCTCTTCCTCCGGTTGTTCTTCTCGCTCTTTCTCTGCCTCTCTCATTCACACTCTCAATCTGCCTCTTTCTCCTTCTCTCTCTTTCTCTCTCTCTCTTTCGCCTGTTTCACTTTCTCTCATCATACCTCGTCTCACAGCGTTCTCACGATATGCACTCTCCGATGACGTTTTTTATTTACACAACGGTAGAAACATTTAAACACTCTTTTAGACTTCCTCGAGCGTAGTCGAGTCCCTTAAAAATAATCGTGAATGCTAAGGGGAGGCTGGATCCGTGGTTACGAGGGTGAGTTCCAAACATGTACTCCTCATTCTTCCCTCTCCTAATTCGAAAGGGGGGTCATCTTTTGTTAAACGGTCGCCACGGGGCCGCGGAACCGCGGGAGCTCGAAGATAATACGCGGCGAAACCATTTTTTCGCCTCGGCGAACCATTTCGCGCCTGGCAATTTTTATATTCGCGCTCTGAAAACTTGCTTTCCGAGTCGCGAGTCTCACTTTATCCAAATTAAGTGACACGCCTTTCAACAGTTGGCATTGATAAACGGTTTGATTGTTGTTTGTTATTTGATTCGCGTCATCATTAATCGTAAACAAATCACCACGCTATGCAGCAACGTGTACGTAGTGTTGAAAGTTATTATAAACATTCGATGGACGCCTGATTTCTCCAGGAGGAGACATCAACTAGCCCCCATGATCATGTCAGATCTTTTTCTATGGGGCTTATGAAACAGTAAAGTTTATGTCAATAAACCACAAACGATTGACGAGCCAAAAAAAAAAACAATATTATAGACGCCGTTAATGAATTAGAACTCCAATTACGTAATAATGTAATGGAGAAAATTGGGTAAAACGAGTCGGGCTCGTGAAAAAAGCCGGGGAGCGGTCATTTGAACGGCTCTGTGTCCCACGATTAATATTATGCAATGGACTTTATATTAAAATAAAGTAACCTGAAATGTCTCAAATAGTTCGTGTTTTATTTCAATTTAAAGACGTGACACTCAATTTGGATAACGCTATAGCTCTTCGTGCACCCTCATTTTCGTCGCCCAGAGTGGCGACAAAAATGCCATCGCCGACACGTTAAATTGCATAAGTCAACGGAAAACTGGCTCACCGTGTTTATCTCCGATCGAGAAAGATCTCAGAGAACAACAGAGGCTCGGTCTGCGTGACAGACAATCTCCAGAAGACTTTCCATGGGCCGCCGTTCCGGGGCCCCGTGGCGCAAAAGATGGCGGCGTTGAGTGATTCCCGGATGGCGGCTGAACAATCGACAAAGAGATGAAGCTACGCACATCAATATTCAAGGAAAAAGACACTACATAATTACGCGCGGCTAACGATCGAAGGTCCCTTCGGTGGTTCACCTCCCGTTCTAGCTACGGTTCTCTTTGTCCAAGGGCGAAGATAAAAAGTAGAACAATTACTCAATTCCTAGACGCGTTAGTACACGGGAGAACTCGAGGAGAATCGTTCCTGCGCACCGGCGGCGCAGCGAAATCTCGGACGAGCCGCGATCGACATTGATCGTTAATAGACTGCGGATTTTATCCATTTATAGGAAAAATAGTGAAACGTAAATTCGTGAAAAGATTCAAAGAAACTACGAATGGTTGTTGTACTAACACTAAACCTATCGAGCCGGTCAAAATGACCGGTTTCTCATTTGTCGTTCTCAAGCGACTGAAGTTGTAACCATTTTTTCATAGTAAATAACTGAAATGAATTTCTTAATCCAAACAATCGTTATAATAGAAATGGCGAGAGGTCGAAATGAATACAGTCTGTTCATCGATATAGAACGACACATGTTAGTTACTTTCAGGGCTCGGTAGGTGTTTCCGTTGGAAACGTTTTGGGTTCGAGAAAACGAACGAGCAGTGTCGATCGCACGGCCTGGAAAGCTTCGAATTCGATCGATTTCTCGAGTGTTCCCCGACAGAAAGCGTCGATGTGGGTCGACGAGCGTCGACTTCCGGTGCGCCAGGACGACACGCGTTTCCCCGGCTGTTTTTTCTTTTTAATTCCATTTTGAACACAGTGTTATTTTGTTTGTCTCGGTTGTACACAGAGCTAACGTAGTCGAAGAAACGCAATTTGTTGAGCAGAAATTGTTAAACACGACCAGCGTTCTTAAGGGAAATGTGTTACGCAAGGGGCGGCACGGCGGCGTGGCGCGTCTACCGGGTGAACGTTATAATTCTGAACTGCGATCGGGACGCGACGCAGAGCTTCTGTCTGATCACTAGACTGCGGATTTGATGCACTTGTGGGAAAAATGAATAGGCCAAATAAAAAGTTGTAAAGGAATTAGAAGAACTCACGGATACTGTTACATTATTTTTAACTCATTACGATTGCTAAAAGAGGAAAGATATTTTCATCCAATTTATGTTTCTTAGAATTAACTTGGGCAATTTTTATTTTGCATACAAAAACCGAGTCTACTGACAACTAGATTGCGGAGTCTGTGCAATTTTTTACAAAAATGACTGTATCAAAAACGAAATTCTGTAGACACGAGAAGAATTCGAGAACACTTTTTTATTATGCACAACTTACTAAAGTTATTAAAAGAGGAAAGTCATTTTCCTTCAGCTTACGTCACTCATAATCGAGTAGGACAACTTTTACCTTGCATAAAAATCCGCCGTCTACCGATCACGCTGCGCGGGAATCCCGCGCATGCGTCACCAGCCCCACTCCTTGCGTCAGCCGCCCCCACTACACGCGTAACTTATTTCCCTGCGAGCACTGAACACGACAGTTGTTCGTTTCGTTACTTTCCTGCGACCACGGGGCGCTGCCCCTCGTCGAGAGGAGGCTCGCCTAAACGCGATCGAGGATCACCCTCTAAGGTAGCCTCGTCGACTTTCGACCTCTACTCGATCCTCCTACTGTACCAATCGGCAAACGGAAAAAGCACGAAACAGCGATCTAGTCTGCCGGAAAGGTTCGCCGCTCGGCAATGGCCGACCGTCTCTTTTGCAGTAGCAGACGCATCCTCTGGGGCGCCGCGAGAGTCGCATTCATTCTCGTCGCCTAATTTACCCTAAACCATACACAGCGGATATACACCGTGGCTCGCTCGCGCAGCTAATTTAACAAGATCCCTATCGACCGTACGATCCATTAACTTTACAATTACCGCTACTACCTTGTACTCTTTAGGTCAACTTCCACGGAGCGGAATCGACCTCTCCCGAGGGAGCTCGGCGCTCTTTATCCTAATTCTTCGGATTAGGCGAATCGAGGCTCTGGGAACAGCTGAAATTGATCTCCGGTGGCCCGCTAACGAGAGGCCCGATGCCATTGATTCGTGTTCCATCGAGATACCACAGCGGTCGATACAAATATTAGAAAACGATATAGTGAAGCGTCGAGAAATGATCAGAAAGCTTGTAATATTTATTACAGATTTAGACTGCGGATATTATGCATTTATGGCAGAAATGGCTAAGTCATATTTCAAACTGTGAAAAGATTAAATGAATTTAAGGATAACGACGTACTATTTTCTATTGATTAAGATTGTTAACACTGAACCTACCGTGCCGGTCATAACGATCGCTTTCACATTTTCGATTTTTAAATTGTTGTCACCATACAGATTCTTTGCTTAAGAAACGATCGTACAAATCCCAATTCATTCGAGCTTACATTATAACAAAAATAACAGGAAGTCCAGACGAATTCAATCTTGATATTCTTACAAAACAGCGCACACGTTAGTCACCTTTAGAGCTCGGTAGGTTAATTGTTAAAGTAAGAATAACATATATTTTCATCGTCTGTATTTTACAATCGAGACGGACGATTTTTACTTTGCACAAACATCCGCAGTCTGGTAACAAATAATCGACGACGATCTCGGAGCGAGCCTCTCGTCTTCCCTCGAGGCGGAATCGATCGATTCCGGTCGTTCGTGGTTGTTTGATTCTGTCTTGCATCTAAGCTCGCTAACTAATCGCTGCCTCCGAGTCCCGTTCTCGTGGCAGGCCGTTCCAGAACGCTCGCCAACGGCGGACGGTGGCTCGTGACCGACAAAATGGAGATATCTAGAGGAAAAATCTCGAATTCGAAGGATATGACGTGCGGACGATCCTCGACCGACCGTGCACAAGACTCTTAACCCTTTCATAGGCACTGGGAACTATGCTCCCCACTCACTTTTAGCGCCACGTGTGGACCACCAGGCTCAAATATTCCCACCGTCGAAAATTCTTATCGCGAATTGAAGTATTTTCGAATATTCATATTGTGCCCATAAAAGGGTTAACGAATATCGGCGGAATGAACTATCGATAACTCGCGACCATCGACAACGGAACGCGTGCGGAATTCCTCGACTTCCGCAAGCCCAACGCATTCTTGATGTTACGACGACTGATAATAACAAATTCGCGAGAAGCGTCACGGTTGACATGCTCGGTTAATTTGTTCGCGAAAACAAGGCCGAGTTGCTGCGACGGCGAGATGTTCCCTGTGTTTAGTCTCCCGATGAACGACAACCAATGACGGCCATTGGGGCCATTGTACACCAAACGCGGTGAAAAGTCATTCGAATAAAATATTACTATAATGAAAAGTTAATTTGTTTGTTGGGAATATGGACTACAATTTGACATAATCTTTTTTACCACTTATTATTAATATTAGCTTCTAGTTCTGAATGGTAAAAAAATGGGTTTTTACCTATTTTTACTTATATATATATATAAATTAGATTAAATTAAATCAAATTAAATTAATTTCAGTGAGGAATAGAGCGTTCTGAAGAGACCCATCTCGAAATCATTCCGAAATAAAATCATTGTTTAAAAATGTGTTATTTAAAAAAAAAAGAAAAGTCAGGAAAGTGGGTAAATGACTCTTACATATTTACGTTGTATAAAATATGATACAAAGAGATGTGTACGCATGATTTATAAGCTGTCTTTCACCGCGTTTGGCACGCAATGGGCCAACTGCGCGACGGCCATATTGGAAAGTCGTCGGGAAGCCGGATCGGAGGACTCCGCTCAAAAGTCGGTTGCTTCCCGAAAACAGGCCAATTGTTCCCGGTGATTTTGCATAGAATCATTTACGAGTCAGCTCGCGCGTCAACGAGTCGGAATACGGTGGAATATTTGCAGACCGGAAGTCGGGGGTGGGCCGGTCGCCGGAACGATCCATCCCGACGCGACGCCGATAACGATCTTATACTTTCAACATTCGATAAATTTTACGGCACGACGGAAAAAACACTTACAGAGCTAAAATTCTACCTACATGATATGAAGCTGGTCGATGATACCGTCGATCCTGCGAGCCACCGTTCGCCGGCACGGCGGGTTTCGCTCGCACCCTGCCCTCTCTCTAACCGTAAAGGAAGCATTTTTGGTCATCGCACGCGCGCGCGCGCGCGCGCTCGCACACACACACACGAGCAAGCATGCTTCTGTCCGTAAAAGGTAACGTGGAATCTAGATAACGAGGAAAAACGAACGAGTTCTCGTGGAAGGTGCGCCCCTCGACTGAAATATTCTCCCGAGGAAAATGACAATGTTCCGGCTATTGCAACGTACTATGTACAAACGCGCGACGGACGATTGCAAACTGAAATGCGCCGGGACGAAATCCGCCCGGCGAAACCGTCGGGGCGGTCGTTGCTGGCAACGACGATAGAAAATGGGGAGAAAGTGAGGGAAATGCCGCGAGACAACGGGCCGTTCTGCGTTGCCTTCGATTCGAAGGATCGGGCATGGCAGGGAACGTAACGTTCCCCCCTTAGCGTCGCGCGGTTTGGAAAATACATCGAGATGTTTAGAAACGACGGAAGTTGTTCGATCTTCGCCTTCATTGTTCAACGATTTACGGTTAAATATGTTGCGGGGTAGAAGAGAATTCTCGCGCGACGATATGGAGGGAACTCTGTACTAAAACGAGCAGGTCCGCTCTAATAGCTGGCTAAGAAACTGAAGCCAGCTTTTTGCTGTTTTTCAAGATTATCCAATTCTTCGCTGAGGAAAGGCTTTTATCTGTCTAGGCGATCAAATTGTACTGCTTTTTATACAGTGATGCGCGTAAATCAACGCGCGTCACGAAAAGTTATTCGTTTCAGTTTTCTTAAGAAACACGTTAGACTTTGCAACTTTGATAAAGAAAACCGAAACGTTCCAGTCGTCGCAGAAACAACTGGAACGTGTTAATTTTCGTCGCAAAAAAAATGAGACGTGCTCGTGTTTCGTAGTAAATATGAAATACAATAGTCTTCCGCGGAACAGATGAAACGTGATTTTCTTGCTGGTAAATTGAAACGTGGTAGCACAGTAATTAGATCAGTGTACAGAAATTGTCACATAGTAACTAGATCGGGGCGTACAGAAATTGATACACAGCAACTAAATAGAAAATTCATTCATTCATCTCCCTAAGATCTCGCAATAACTGGCTCAGAAACTGTTTTCTATGTTTCGTTAAATATTTTGCATTCTCTGCGTACTTTGATTATGAAACAATTTTGTACTTATCCGAAGAACACCAACATATAATTGAAATGCTTCATTAAAATAAGAATATATTTAATAAGAAAGCATAAGAAACTATTTAATTTTCATTTAAAACCATCTAATTTCAGTGTGAAACTTAATTTTAATTGAAAACTATTTAATTTTAATTTGAAACTTCGGCTTAATTCGAAACTACTTCATTTTAATTTAAAACTATTTGCTTTTCATTAAAAACTTTAGACGTCACTTTAATGGGCACGGTAACTGACGCCCTCGCCCTACTAAGAAAAATGTGACGTGTTACATTTCGTGACGCGCGTCGAAAATAACGCTTCCATGTAGACGATTTCGTTCAACTCTGACAAGAGAGCTATTTGAGGAAGCAAATTCATATCCATGCCCGAGGTGAATCGAGGACCCGGTATCGGTCGCTAGAACGCCGTCAAATAATGAAAATGAAAATGAAATGAGAGTGAGAGAGACTGAGAGCGAGAGAGAGTGTGTGTGAGAGAAAGAGAGAGAGAGAGAGAGACAGAGAGAGCGCGACGAGAACTCGGCCGAAGGAGTCGAACGAGGAGGAGAATTTGTTGAAAAGGGAGAGTAAGGCGAGGAGGCGTGCCGTGAAATGAATTATTGGTGCTGGATCTCGTCAGTCTCGTCCTGGGACACGATGCTGGACCTGTTCGACCGTACGTCGAGGTCCATGCCGAACGGTCTCGACGAGGAGTCCGCCGCGAGAAGGGTTTGCGCGCCCTCCTCGATGCTCAGGCTACACTCCAACGAGCTGTCACTGAAAGTACAGAAACAGACTTCTACTCATCACTAGCGTCTTCGACGTGTGTCCTACGAAACGGTGCCGCTGTGATCGACGATCGTACCCGGGCGCGTTTACCTGACGATGCTGGCACGATCCACCGATCCGGACGCCGGCATCGTGCAGTTGTCGCCGTTGCACGATCGTTCGCCGTTGCTGCTGCACGAGGACGATGTCCTGGTCGCCGCGGCCTCTCTCAGCGACGCTCTTCGCGACTCTTCGTGGCACTCGCACCTGCCGATCGATTTTTTCACCTGGGGTTAGCCGCACAGAGGGGAGGATCGGGCTTATTTATAGACGCTACGTGTACGCGCCGCGACATCATTCATAAGCGCGACCGCGACAACCTAGGCGAAAAATCTTTTCGAACGTTACGTCGTCCTCGTCCAGGCTCTTATCTAACGTTCCTTCAATTTGTTTTTCAAGCTTGTTCTGGCTTAAAATTGTTGGATAAGTAGAAACATTCTCCAGGCGAAGGTCTCTCAAAGACTTGACTGTTTCGAGTGTCAAATTGACTTTATATTGATTATCTGGCGGGTATCTCTATATTATCTGGCATCAAATTTTGACTTTGTATCAATTAACAGTGACTTGAGGTCAAATTTTGACTTCATATCAATTAACAGTGACTTGAGGTCAAATTGACTTCATATCAATTAACACAGTGACTTGAGGTCAAATTGAGTCCACATCGATTAACAGTGATTTGAAGGCAAATTGACACCGTGTGAATTAACGGCGACTTGGCATCAAGTTGATACCGTCTTGTTAACAGTGACTTGAGGTCAAATCGACTACATATCAATTAACAGTGACTTGAAGGCAAATTGGCTCCGCATCAATTAACAGTGACTTGAGGTCAAATTGACTTCATATCAATTAACAGCGATTTGAAGGCAAATTGACATCGTATGAATTAACGGCGACTTGACATCAAGTTGATTCCGTCGAGTTAACAGTGACTTGCGGTCAAATTGACTACATATCAATTAACAGTGACTTGAAGGCAAATTGACTCCGTATCAATTAACGGTGACTTGAGGTCAAATTGACTAAATATCAATTAACAATAACTTGAGGTCAAATTGACTCCATATCAATTAACAGTGACTCGAAGGTAAATTGACTTCGTATGAATTAATTAATTTAAACTTGACGTCAAATTGATTCCGTTTTGTTAACGATGACTTGACATAGAATTAGCTCCGTATGAATTAATGATAACTTCACGTAAAATTGACTCCACATCAGTTAATGTTGACCTAAAGTCAAATTGACATTGTATCAATTAATGGTTAACTTGACATCAAATTGACACGGAGTCATTAGTGGTATCACTAATTGTTACGGAGTCAATTTGACGTCACGTTACCATCAATGATATTAAACCAGTGGTCACCACACAGTGGCCTTGACGCTCAGATTGTGCATAAAAATAGATAATTTATATAATTTTTTATATAAATTATATTTACATAAAATAATATATTAATAATTATATTATATTAATTATTATTATCGTTATATTAAATTTTATAATTACATTATATTAATTTTTATAATTATATCATATTAATTATAAATATTTATAATTAATATAATTATTTTATAGTTGTTGACAATTGATAACTATAAAAACGACTAAGGCTCGAATAATCGTATCTCCTCTTCCTAAATTGTCCATTTTTGTGTACAATCTGAGCGATGAATTTACTCTAGTTAGAATTTTGATCATGACTAACGCAAATGTGTCATCGTCAACGTTGAAAGAGATTCGCGGAGGTACCAAAGCTGATTCTATGGCTATAAAGGTGAGAAAAATGCGAAATTCCGATTTACCTGCATTCCTCAGGCTGCACGTAGCTGTACCCGGACTTGGGCTCGTCGTCGGCCCGCGGGATCGTCTGGATCCTCTTCGGCGCTTTCCTCTTCTCCGGTATCTCCTCGAAGTTGATCCAATTGGTAGGTCTGGCCGGGGCCCTCGGTGGCAGTGGCGGTGGGCTCGGCGACTTTCCCGCGGCCCTTCGGCCCGCGTCGGTCACTTTACCGGCGAACTCCGTGAACGTGTTCGCCGGGTGTTTCCTGGGGCTCTTCAGCTTGCGGCTGTCCTCCCGGGGCAGCGAGATCTTCATCTTCTCGATGCGACGCTCGTCGAGCGACGTCTGCATCACGAACTCGTCGAGCAGCGTCGGGTTTATGGGCGTCGTCGACCGCGGCCTCTCGATCGGTATCGTTCTGGACATCGTTCACAAACCATTTGGTGTCGGGTGCTATCGTGAAACACGCTACCGTCGCCGATGCTCTACCATCGTCATTCTACTGGTACCAAGCGTTTTTGTTACGGACAGTTGCGTGGTTTTGGTTTCGTAGACTGTTCACCCCCATACGCTTCGCCGTTTATACGATTACGATCGTTCGCTGCTCGATCGGTCGGAGATCGAAGTCGGTTGAATCAAATTTACTTCATACAAATGAAATCAAACGCTATCGAATTTAAATAGAATCTATTTCGAACGAATCAACGTATCTCATAATGTTTAATCAAGGCAAGCCGTACAGTAACATTATCATTTACTCCACTCGTTTCTCCAACACTTTGGCGCGTACAAGATTACATTTCGAGACGCAAGCCAACATTTACGTAAATGTCGCTCACGCCGCTACGATTCTACCAACACTGTCAAGTAATTCAATGAATCCCGAAAGAGAACGCGGACGAGCTATCGCCCCCCTGTGGAACGTATGAGGGTCGTGTGTATCGACTGTGCGGAAGTGTTTCATTGGTAAAAGTCTCCGTGTCTCGTGGATGAATTTCGACAGCGAAGTAAACACCGAAGCCAACGAACCGAAACGAAACAGTTAGCGAACACCGTGAACAAATTGCCATGAAAACCCGTCGCCACGGACAGATCCGGCCTATGACCTACCTAACTTCTTGAAGTCGTTGTTTGACAGGCAGGATCGGCACGGCGACGCTCTTCTCTAAAGGTAGGGTGGTCGGTACGTAGGGTAGATCCTCCTCGAAGCTCTCCTCGTAAAACAATCCTTTCCTCTCGTCGGGCAGCTCCTGGACGATCTTCTCGGCCTTGTTCCTGATGAACTCGATCTCGGAGTCCCGCTCGGACTCGGAGCTGTTGTGATCGAGATCGGAGACGACGCTGGGCGCCTTCGCGAGGCCGTCCTCCGCTCTGAGTCCGTCGTCCGGCAGCTCCACGGATTTTCTGGTCTGGGCGAGCTCCCTGGCGAGCTCCTTGGCCAGCTCCTTGGCCAGCTCCTTGTGAGACGGCTCCCTGTGAGACGGCTCCTTGTGAGGCGGCTCTTTGTGAGGCGGCTCCTTGTGAGACGGCTCCTTGTGAGGCGGCTCTTTGTGAGGCGGCTCCTTGTGAGGCGGCTCCTTGGGCTGCTGCTTCTGCCGGGGCGCGTTCTCGTCGATCCTCTCGGGCGGCTCGATCTGCTGGACCTCTTTGCTCTTCCTCTTCGGCTTAGTGATCTCCTTCTTGCCGACGGAGTCTCTCGACGAGCTGCTGGACACTCTGTGCTCCGAGGAAGGCCTGCTGTCCGCCGGCTTCGCCTCGGCGATTTTGCTGTGCGAGCTGATCTTGGACTCCTTCGAGGAGCTCCTCGAGATCTCCGAGTCCTTCGAGACGCTTTTCGGGAGCGGGCCGCTGTCCCGCGAGTAGGACCTCGAGGTGGTCTCGATCTGGGCCTCGGTTTTGATCTTGGCCGGCACCGGGTGATGCTCGATCGACACCTGGGTCACTATGCTGCCGGTCCGCGGCTCCGACTCGTACTCGTCCAGCAGCTTGGTCGGCGTCTCCAAAGGAATCGAGACGCTCTCGGAGGGCAGCGCCTCCTCGTAGTTCCTGTCGTCCGCGTGCAGGCTTATGAAAATCGAGTCGTCCTTCCTGTTGTCTCTGTCCGCGTTGAACCGGAACTCAACGTTCCCTATGCTCTCCAACGAGGGATGGCCGCCGCTGTCCTCCAGCTCGGTGCCGCACGCGGCCGCGATCGCCTCGTCGTAGCTCTTCTTCCGTTCGCGTTTCTTGAACAGGCTCAACGTCGACGAGAACACCCCCTTGTTCTTCGAGTCTTTCTTCAGGCTCGAGCCTTTCTCCGCGGACACGCGCTCGCGCGACTTCGATCTGCTGCGCAGACTCTCCGTGGTGTCCTTTATCTTCGAGGTCAGACTACGTCGCGGTTTCGTGCTCGGCGACGGTGATTCTGGGCTCAACACACTGCTGTCTGTTCGGCCCTTAAAAGTTGAACACGCGGATCGTCAAGAACATGCAGTGTTATGCGACACACTCTTCTCGAAAAAGCTAGCGGGTCTTCTACAAAGACAAAGCAAGGAATCCATGTGCGGGTGAGACAAGCGGGCAAAGCGTACAGCGGGACGCAGGCGCGAGCCTCCGCGACCCTGATCCTGCGATCACGATCGAGCGATCGAGAACGGGGTGGGGACCGGGAGGCCAAGCAATGTCTAGTTTTCTAGGAATTTTCTTATTAATCTGGTAGGAAGGCGGTTGTTGATCGATAACGTCTTCCAGGCATTCTACGGTCTGGAATCTAGACTATGAAAGGATTTTCGGTGTCATTTGCTCAGTCCTCCCAGCGCGCAGTGTTCCGGGAAAAAAGTCATAACTCGCGAACTAATTAATTTTCGAGCGAAATATACCTTAATACTTTTTTTCAATAGAATGCAAAGCCGAATCGATCGGCGAATTAAAAGATATTATTTGCTCCGAATGAATTGCGATGAACTTGTTTGTTTGTGAAATGAAAATCCTTAAAAATTCCTTTCATTTACCTAAAAATAAACGAAACGAATGAATTCATAAATTCATGAATATCTTGTTTAATACTTGATTAAATAATACGAGTATATACTATAATACTTCATTGTCACTATCATCGAAACAAGTGTTAGTAACTTAATGTAATGCGTGATCTGATAATAAATAATTTTCTATGCCTTGGTAATCTTGTTTTTATTGTTTTCGTATGTCTGATTGAAAAACCGACTCTATATGAAGATTATTTAATAACTCTTTCTTAGATTGTTCTCGTGATTCGACAGCAGATTTTTCAGTCTCGTTACGAAAAAGAAATTGATATCTTCAGTTAAGATCGAAGATTTTTACAACCTAATTGAAGATTTACAACCTACGTTTCGTTATGGATTATTATTGATTTGTTATGGATTATTTTGAGACAGCTAAATGTGCAGATCGTGCGCTTCGATTTTCTGACTTTTTCCCATGGGACGAGACACTGTGCAGCGTTGTGATCTAGATCGCAACGGATGGACGACAAGGTCGGAGAAGCGGCAGAGAGGCTCGCGAGGCTGCGTCTAAGGCAACAGCAGTCCTAGACGACGAACAGTACCTTGAACAGGGAGGCGAAGCTGCTTTTTCGGGAAACGGAGGAGGGGCTGGGTGTCCGGGAGCCCTCGAGCTCCCGAACCTTCTGATGCCTCGGCAATTTCGGGCTTCCGGTCACGCTGCTCGTTGTCGGAGTCGTTTGCACGATTTCCTTGAAGTTCTGCGACTTCTTTCTCTTGTCGTTGAAGTCCAAGCTAACCGGCTTCTGCACCTCCTGCGGCAGACTCCGGCTGGACGACTGCTGCGCCGTCGTTGTGCTCTGCGTGTCCGCCGGCTTCTTCACGATCGGCACCTGCGCAATTTCGTGGGATCAAGGGAACGCTTAAGAAACGGCTGAATCGCGCGCGATACGAACCTCTATGTTGACCCTCTCCAGGAATCTCTTCGTGATCTCCACCTCTCTCTTGAAGATCTCCTTTCGCTCCTCCCGGCCTCTCCTTCGCGGCTTGTCCAGAGGGTCCGGCTTCAGGTTCCCGTCGATCATCGACACCTTTATGCTCTCCGGTATCAACGCCTTCGTGGTGTCCGCCTCGCGTTTCAACAGGATCTTCTCCAGGTCGTCCGTCTCCGGCTTCGACGGCTCTATCAGGTTGTCGGCCAGCGTCGGCTTGCTCCCGCAGAACGAGGTCTCGAGCAGGCATTTGTGCGGACTCGGTGACCTGGCAGGGATCATCCAGTTCGATATTCAACGCCTCACAAGGTCGGACCTTCTCCGAAAAAGTACGCCACGATTTATAACTTTGTACGATTTTTGACGAAGTTCGGCGCTGTTATGTTTGCGAGATGGTTGAGCTTGAACGCGTTATCGGAAATGGAAAATCGGATCCAAGATAGCACAGAGGGGTCTTTGGAACGTCTTAAAGACGTCCCGAATTGGACGACGTTTTAACGTCGGAGACAAGACGTCTTAAAGACGACCATTTTTAAGTTATTACTAGACTTGAATAGAAATTTCGTGTCTCCATTGTGCGATACAGTGGCTAAAAACAAAAGTGCTTCTTTTTTCAATAGTTTCACTAAATTGACAATAATATGACGACATCCTTGAATTTTTCTGATGTTTTCACCGATCTCTACGTTACATCGCTCACCCACTTTTTGCCATAAATGCATAAAATTCGCTGACTAGTTACTACGAAGCACAAGAATTGATCAACTCCGACCTTCTACATCTCGGTAACCATTCACGAAATTAAAAAATTTCAAACAACATTTGATTCTCTAAACCTTTCTGCGAAAAGGTAATATTATGCCTTCAACTCAAATTCGCAATGTTCCCGGCGTGACGAATAAACTGTGCGGATCTTTATGGAAAATAAAAATTGTCCAAGTCGATTGCAAGAAACGTAAGTCCGATGAAAATGATTTCTCTCTTTCAATGATGTTAATAAATCGTACACAATATAAAAACATTCTGAAATCCTTCTCGCGTCTTTACAATTTCGTTTTTTGTCAAGTCGATTTACTTAAAATCCTGAATACGAAGAACCGGCGAGCAAGTACTCGGACGAAAGTCGAGTGGTAAATGTACCTTGAGGAAGTAGCCGAGACAACGGAGAGCTTGCCAGAGGCTCCAGAGCCCTGGCTGCCGACCGACGACAACCTGGACGTCCTGCCGCTGATGTTCAACAACACGATCTCGGAACAGTTGCTGTCCTTCCTCTCCCTCTCGAGCTTGCTGCTGTACTCGGACAACGAGGCATCGTCCTTCTTTCTCTTGGCTAGCTTCTTCGACTCCCGCCTGAGATCCTGCTCGTGCACGGGATCCTGCAGGTCCAGCTCCTCCGTGGACGATCTCAGATCTTGAGCGTCCTCTTTGTAACCCAGCGTCAGCTTGCATCCAGGTGGAGGCTCTCCGCCTGGAACGTTCACCGGAAGCCAGCTGTTCACCGTTTCGACAGGACGCGCGGCTCGTCGTCGATCTACGACGATCACTCTCCGAACGACTGGGGCTAGCTGCTACTTCTCTATCAACGTTCCTCGGTTACAACCTACTTCTACCGGCGACTATTATAGTCTACAATCGATACAGAACAGTTGGCTAAACCGTGCTCGGATGGAACACCGGGCGTCATGCAACGCGCACTCTCGCGCGCCTGTGAGGCTCATTTCATGAGAAAAACGGATACTCTTCGCAGGTGTAGATCGCGACCTCAAACCTACGGATCAATTCCTCGGACAGCCGCGCTACTGATTAACGTATCGACCGTATGCATTCAGAGCCCTGCACACAAAGCGCGGGCCACATTATCGAGTAACTACGCCTAATGCATGGTAAACAGATTTTCTCGGCCGCTAGTTTGTTGTGTCGGTGCATAAATAATGCTGCTCTTTGCGAGCATCGCTAGTGCCGTCCCGGAGATGTCCACTCGTTCTCCCGACTTCCTGCGGCCCCGGTTGGAAGCTCGCGACTCGCGTAGCGCGCTTGGAAAGCGTTTCCGTCGAGGAGAGCGGCTCCTTAGGAAAATAGAACGCGATCCTATTACCTAAGTGTACCCATTACTAACAAGGGGAACTTACGATCATGGGAATCGCTTTCGAATCGAGAATGGGTTGAAGTTATAGTACATAGCTGATATCGATAAAGTTTAATAGGAATTTTCAAAATGGGCCTCCATTTTTCCAGATATTTTTATTTAAAGTTTGCACGGAAAAAGACTGACATGTACAGAGAATATCCATTTGAAATCATTAAATCTAAATATCTCGAAAATTGTGTGTGTACATTTTGGGGAAAAATGTTGAACACGAAAGTGACTCGATCTCAAGAAAGAATAAACTTCTGCGTGAAACATTTTGCCCGGGAACGTGTTGTTTCCGAGATATATTTCGATTTGAAGTTTTCAAATGATCATCCTATATATCGCATGATCCTCCATACGAACTTTAAATCGAAATATCTCATAAACGAAGGCGGATTTTGAAAAATTCTATGAATATTATATCTATAATACTACGTACACACTGTAATATAATCTTGTACCTAATATAATATATGTATAACCTATGGAGGGTGTTCCATAATTATGTTAACACTGGGAAAATGGCGATTCCTGGGGTCATTTGAAGTATCTTTTTCCTCAGCGAAAATGCAATCCGTACCTTTGTTTACGAGTTATTAACGAAAAACAGTGACCAATGGGAGGCAAGTTCGGCTGGCACGAGACGGCCGAGCCAATCAGCGGAACTGGGCTTCGTGCGCTCGTTGGCTGTACCGTCTCGCGCCAGCCGACCTCGTCTCTTATTGGTCGGCGTTTTTCGTTGATAACTCGTAAACGAAGCCGCGGATTGCATTTTCGCTAAGGAAAAAGTTACTTCAAATGACCCGAGGAATCGTCCCTTTCCCGGTGTTAACTTAATTACGGGACACTCTGTATAAAGTAATCTTGACATAATCCATTCTCGTTTCAAAAGCGATTTCCACGATCGTAAGTTCTCCTTGTAAGTACAGTAAATTCTCTACAATTGTCCTTGAACTTGTAGACAAAAATGGACGATTTGGGAAGAGGTGACATGATTATTCGAGCCTTGCGCCTCGTTTTTATGGTTATAGACAATCGGCGACTATAAAATTGACTCTAATTCGATCTTCCCAAATTGTCCATTTTCGTTTGCAAGCTGACGGACAATTGAAGAGAATTTATTTGTATTATATTACCAACCGACGGCTGACATTATTTATGCAGCGATCCGGAAAGAGCCGCTGGCACACCGCTGATCACGAATTACGACACCGATCGGCTTCAAGAGTTCTACGAAATTCTATCGAAGATCCGATGATTTACTTCCTCGAAGATCGTCGACTATGCGAAGCCACGTGACGCTCGGACACGTGCCGAACGATTGTCCGCCGTTTAACGAGCGTGCAGAACAGGGCCGGTCGACGCGGGCTGTTTCAGCGAACGACGGAGAAACGTGTTGCTTCATCCTGCAGGACGCGGCCGTTTGTGTGTCGCGGCGACAATGGCGAATATAGGACGAACTTCCGGTAGCACCCGCGCGTCCCGCCTCCGTAAACGCGCCTCGCGACCTGTATTAATTCGTGGCCGTGCACGCAGAAACGGGAATCGGGGCTCGCGTTATCTCCGGGGACCATTTCACGGCGTCGCGAATCGTCTCGATCGATTCGCCAGCGCGACGGTTCTCTCCGAGGTGAACTCGCGTTTTCTGCAGCTTCGTAGTTTCGCATGGAAACGAGATCGACGGAGGAAAAACGCTGGCGTTGGTGGAGGCTCGTCTTGTCGGGAGCTATGTTTGCTGGGAACTTTAACGGAGAACGAAATTACACGCGCAGAACGATGGAATTATATGTGGACGAATATAACCGGGAGATTTTCGATGAAGGAGTGAGAGGAAAGGGGAGAATGATATGTTTTGAGGGAGGATTCGTTTTGGAGAATCGAATTCGGATAGAGGGTCGTTGGAGCGGCCATCTTATCAAGGAAGGGAACAGTTCGAGAACAATCCAATTGAAGAATGCTTCGTAAAAATCAAAAATATTGTATGCATTTATTTGGAATGTGGGGACATAGTTGAGCCGTTTATTTTGAAAGTGGCATAAGTCGCTTTGTTTTTAAGTCGATATATTTAAGGGTTTGCGTTTTAACACGTTTAAAAATATGGATGCTAACTTTCGAGAAGATTTACTTGTATTTGTTATCTCAGGATACTGATATTTTTCTCAGTATAAATAATTTCGTATAAACATTAAAAAATCACCACTTTTCATTACGGTAAAGTGACTTATGCCACTTTCAAAATAAACGGCTCAACTACTGTCTCTTATACACATCTAGATGTGTATAAGAGACAGTAGTTGAGCCGTTTATTTTGAAAGTGGCATAAGTCGCTTTGTTTTTAAGTCGATATATTTAAGGGTTTGCGTTTTAACACGTTTAAAAATATGGATGCTAACTTTCGAGAAGATTTACTTGTATTTGTTATCTCAGGATACTGATATTTTTCTCAGTATAAATAATTTCGTATAAACATTAAAAAATCACCACTTTTCATTACGGTAAAGTGACTTATGCCACTTTCAAAATAAACGGCTCAACTACTGTCTCTTATACACATCTAGATGTGTATAAGAGACAGTAGTTGAGCCGTTTATTTTGAAAGTGGCATAAGTCGCTTTGTTTTTAAGTCGATATATTTAAGGGTTTGCGTTTTAACACGTTTAAAAATATGGATGCTAACTTTCGAGAAGATTTACTTGTATTTGTTATCTCAGGATACTGATATTTTTCTCAGTATAAATAATTTCGTATAAACATTAAAAAATCACCACTTTTCATTACGGTAAAGTGACTTATGCCACTTTCAAAATAAACGGCTCAACTACTGTCTCTTATACACATCTAGATGTGTATAAGAGACAGTAGTTGAGCCGTTTATTTTGAAAGTGGCATAAGTCGCTTTGTTTTTAAGTCGATATATTTAAGGGTTTGCGTTTTAACACGTTTAAAAATATGGATGCTAACTTTCGAGAAGATTTACTTGTATTTGTTATCTCAGGATACTGATATTTTTCTCAGTATAAATAATTTCGTATAAACATTAAAAAATCACCACTTTTCATTACGGTAAAGTGACTTATGCCACTTTCAAAATAAACGGCTCAACTACTGTCTCTTATACACATCTAGATGTGTATAAGAGACAGTAGTTGAGCCGTTTATTTTGAAAGTGGCATAAGTCGCTTTGTTTTTAAGTCGATATATTTAAGGGTTTGCGTTTTAACACGTTTAAAAATATGGATGCTAACTTTCGAGAAGATTTACTTGTATTTGTTATCTCAGGATACTGATATTTTTCTCAGTATAAATAATTTCGTATAAACATTAAAAAATCACCACTTTTCACTACGGTAAAGTGACTTATGCCACTTTCAAAATAAATGGCTCAGTTATAGAGATAATTTGAGATGGTGGTAAAATAATTTAAAATTGGAGTAAAATAATTTAAAATGCGATGAAAATAATTTAAGGTGCAATGAAGATAATTTAAAATTAGAGTCAAATGAGTTAAGATAGGAATAAGATAATTTAAGAGAGGAGTAAAATAATTTAAGATGCGATGAAAATAATTTAAGGTGCCATGAAGATAATTTAAAATGGGAATAACATAATTTAAGATAGGAGTAAAATAATTTAAGATGTGAAGAAAATAATTTAAAATAGGAGTAAAATAGTTTAAGATGGGAACAAAATAATTTAAGATGTGAAGAAATTAATTTAAGACGGGGTCAACATAATTTGAGATGTGAAGGAAATAATTTATTATGTAACAAGTTGTAGTAATTAAAGGAAATGTCTCAATCAATTGCTAAATAAATAAATTGGTGTTTTATCCCAAAATAATTTATGCAATCGATTACAACAATTTAAAGAAATATTTGAATAAATTCACTCGGTATACTCGCGGTTCAAACGAATCGAAGGTGTCCAGTGCATTATGACACTTGGAATTGTATACGCTGACCTGATAACCTAATTAAAGGATTCGCGACGCCTTCTAGCATCGCTAGCCAAGTGTTTCCACGAGTTCTAGCAATGTAAAGGACCAATGTTCCTATAGCCCTCAGGAATACAAAGGGTCAGTATTCCCAAGAACTTTAGAAACGCGAGGAGTTAAAATTCGAACCGATAGAAATTCAAGTTATGGGCCAGAACATTCTCCTAGGATCTTGAGGAAATAAAAGAGAGAGACAACAGGGATCATAAAAAAGATCATGATGCAAAAATAAATAATCAATGTCCGATTGATGAAGACTAGGTTTACGGAACTCGGACGCTACTTGTTCAATATAGAATTCTATTTTATTTTATTTTTATTTCATTTATACGAGCTCGTAAATAAAATAAAAATAAAATAAAATAATATTCAGCTTATCTGTCATTACTTGCGGCAAATATTAGAATTACACTTCAGTTCCTAATCAGAGTAAATGTCTTATCGTTACTTTTATAAAGCAATATAAAACAGCGGCTTTTAATGCTCCGTAAATCCAATATTAAAACGTGGAAAGCGTGTCATCAAAATCGCGACCCAAATCATTTAATACCACGAGGTAAACGAAAAGAAGAGAAACTTCTATTCCATCCACGGTAATTGTGCATACGAATAAAAGAGCACTGGTCGCGACGCTCGTTAAAAGTGACAAGGGTCTCTTTAAAAACTAAAGAGGCATCGGTGATATCGAATGCACAGCCGCGGTCTGGCGCCGTGCGGGAAAAGTGAAACTGCATCTTGCAGATCGCGTGACATTCAGGCGACATTGTAAAACTCGCGAGTGCATTCAATTCTTTATAGTTGATGTATGACGTCCGGGTGCTCGGAGACCGACGACGCGGCAAGGTAATAAACCCAACGGGGCCATAAACAGGGCCATAACTCTTCCGTCGGGCTCGTTTCAAAAATGTCCAGAACCGCTCTCCGCGTCGCGGCATAATTTCGCTTTGCATCTTCCGTCGACCGCCGCGGTTCAACTACATTTTACTGCCGCGAAGTCGCCCCATCGGGCCGCGGCAGCGACGTTTTACGCGACATTCTTCGCGAGCCTGTCGCGGATAGAACTTCCCTTTCATTCCATTTCCCACAATGGACAGTCGACGTTATCCGATGTGACCAAGCGCGGGCGGTTTACCCAAACAATCACGGGCCCGACGGTCGTTTCTCCGCCCCGAGTCGCCGGAGAAAATGGCGGCAAGAGAGCCCGAAACTGGATCGTTGTTTCCCCGAAATTGGGAAAACCGAGGCGACGCGCGAGACGGATATTTTTCAAGAAACCCTCGGGGACGCTGGAGTCACGAGACAAAGCCAGAGAAAGAGAGAGGGAGAAAGCCGTATCAAACTGTCGTTGTTTGATTGCCACATCCGGCACGAAATTTCCAGGCGAGCGGGGAAACCGCCGAGACGGACGCGGACCGTCTAGCGTGCTGTAATTGAATTTCGTCGCACGCCCGACGCTCCGGCAATTCAATTTTCTCGCGGTAACGGCGCTACCAACGCGAAAACTTCTCCGACGGCCAGCGACTCGCTTCTTTTTCCACCTGTACAAATGTGCTAAACGCCGGAGTGACGTTCGGCGAAGGTACAGTGGCCACCGAGACAGAAATCCTGCCGAGCTACGAGTCTAATATACACTGCTCTACGGAAGGGTAAAAATTGGCCATGTTTGACTGACGACAACTCCCCGAAAAAACATTGTAAGACGACGATCTTTCCTTCAAATTAAAGCTTGAAACCTCTACTTTAATACACCGTTTCGTGATTTGAAGTTCGACACACTCTCGTCACCGTAAACCGTTAAATACGAGGCAACGTTTGACATATTGAAAATTGCCAAGTTTGACGAAATGCACGGACTTTATAAAATTCTTTTCGCGGACGTTGTTTACAGTGAGACGAAGCTCGAACCTTCCCCTTTAATTTAAAAAAAGAGAAACGAGGCTGTGATTTTTTTTCGCGTAGTTGCAGCACTTTGAAGTAAGCCCTGTATTTTTGTATTGTCGCCATTGGCCGCACCCGATGTGCGCCACGGGGAGGTTGACGGTTTAAAGGGTTACAGTGACAGGGGTGCATCAAACTTAGAATCCGAAAACGTTATTTTAAAGTAAAAGTTTCAAGCTTTAATTTAAGAAAAGAATCATCATTCTACGATGATTATTCGCGGAGATATCGCCCGGCTAGTTTGCGAAAGAACGACCCCAGGAGCCTCAACCCTTTTTAGCTGCCGACCAATAATATATTACGCACGCTAAGTAAAATGGCTTTTGTTTATATGCTTAATTATAGTACCTACTAAGGAAGCGATAATACGGATTTTAAGGAACCGATCACATTTCAAGATGCCTGTACACAATTCCCATAAAAGTAGCCAGCATTTCGATTGTATTACTTGAAACATGCGCAAACCAACGGTCTATCTAAAGTAAATTCTCAAAAACATTGCAACGATACGAGCGACTAAGCTAGAACACCTCGAGAGAACGCCTTTTGATCACTTCTCTAGCTAGTTATCTGCACGAAATGACCTTGACTCGAGAACTAGACGACTCGACGACTCGACTAGAAGCTTCGATTGACCCTCCGGAAGAGCGAAGGGAACCGAGAGCAAGCTGGTCGGTCCTCTATCGAAGCTGAACTCGCTAGATGCTGTTTGGCCGACGTCAGTAGCCCCGCAGGGCCGATAAAGGGCGTGGGCGAGACATTTCGCTCGGCAAAGTCGCCGCGAAATGTAAACGTACGTTGCCGTGGAAAAAGGAGAAAAAGAACGGCGAGAATTACCTGCGAGAAGCTCCCTCTCGGGCGTCGAGTCCCTGGAGTTACTGTCCTCATGGTGGGAGGAACTGCTGGCCCTGCTGATGTCAATTCGCGGTGTGCTGGGTGTCTTTAGCGAACTGCCAGGCGTAGCCGGCGTGGTGACCTCGACGATGCCTGGCATTCGCGCAGCCGGTTCCCCCTGCATTCAAATTCGTAACGCTGGTTTTTCGCTCGGGTCACAGTCACTGGGGTGTGGTTGGTGGTGGTGGTGGTTGGTGGTTGGTGGTTGGTGGTGGTAGTTGGTGGTTGGTTGGTTGGTTGATTGGTTGATTGATTGGTTGGTGGTGGAGACGGCAGGTTCAGCCTGCTCCGGGGACGCGGAGCTTCGAGAGTGTTTTTGCGGAGGGATCACGCACGCTTAGATCGCCGAGAGATCCTCGATCGAAGGTCGAAGGTCTGGGGGACGAAGGACTCGGGCACGGATCACGCCCGTGACGCAGCCGAGTTAAAGAGGACGAAGGGAGGACACAGGGAAGGACTCACGTTTTCCACCTCGTCGGACAGGTCTTCGAAGGATGCTATCGGCGCTGGTCCAAGCTTCCTCTGATGGGCGCCCGGTACCCCTGACGCCATATTTTTCGATAGCTCAGCCCTCGATGATGCTGCAAAACACCCTTCGTTTTAATCATTCGCGCTGTCGCACACGCGCTCCTTACAACACAGGACCACCACCGATCGTCTTAATTTATCGAATGCCTTAGTTGAACTCCACCTTCGAAACGTCTTACTACGAATCGGCGACCTGCTGCGCAGGGTTGTGCAACCGCTACCCAACTTTTTAATTCGTAGAACTTGTTCGCAAACTCTCGTCACACGTACTGTTTAATCGAGTCAATTTGTCGGACTCCGTCTATGAAAAAGGTCAGACATCGCGAGGTCGTTCGGGACAGGTGTCATAGTGCACAATCAGGGTACAAGGTTAGAGCCGAACTGTTCAATCACTGTTTGATCAGAGAGAATTACGGCCAAGGAGGATGTCCACCCACGTACCGCACAACAGCTTCGACTCTCGAGGTGCTCTCAAGTCATCGAAACTGTGCACAGGGTGTCTCGTTCGAAGTAACACAATCAATTGTCTCCTAAACCCATAGTTCGTTTTGAAAAATGTTTCACATGAAACTTATCCTGTTTCGAGGGGGACGTTCTGTCGCGGTAGCAAATTTTTGGCTGTTACAGAACAATGAATTGACCGTGAAATGCACGATCCGTTTACTTAAAAAGAAATATACAGTTCCGTTGAAGAAAATCAAGATCACCAAAAAGATCACGGAAGCTCGTCCACCCGGCAAATATTTGCGAACATTACAAGACATTCCTCTCGAAACAGGGTAAGTTTCATTCGACACATTGTTTTTTAAACGAACTATGGTTCGGGAGATAATTGAATCGTAATTCGGACACCCTGTATATTCGTGGTAACGTCACCGTTTTCAACGATTTTAGAGTTTCAAATGCCCGGGGCCGTCTGCCGACTAACTAGCGCCCGATGCCACGGTCCGATCGGGAAACCGTTGCCGGATCAAAGAAGCTAATCAGAGCCGAAGTTAGAGCATTTAAGCGAAGGACGAACCGATTAACTCGCGCCACGTCGCTCAGGATGAGGGATATCGAGAGGCCTCTCGTCATCCGTCGGTGCTGATCGAGCACCTGACCGACGAACCGTCCCTGGCTATCGGGTGACCGAAACGATCGGACGTGACGCGTCCTAGTTCACTCGAAATTGAAAAACGATAATACCATCGCACGACAGCGCCGGCTCCGCGTACGCACGTATTATGAAGCGCATAGAATCGAATTACTTTCCCCGAGACTTGGCCGTTGGAAAGTTTGAAAATTCTCTCTCTGCCGAGGAAATAATAGCATTAAATGCTCGGGAAGCTCGTTCTTTCGGCGCAGCTAAAATGCGCGATGAAAACGTTTGCCCTCGGGTTTCCGGTTTCCTTGGAAATTGCTGTTGGAAATTTATCCGATAAACGTGTTCTGCGACGAAAACAAATAAAAAATACCAAGCTGCGAAGGTAGCCGAGGCCTGCGAGCGACGGGGAAATCTTTGGCGCCGCAGCTGCCGACAAAATGGCGGACTTCGGTCTCCCCGTTTTGCAATTATTCGGATCGCGAAGGTGCTTCTGCGGAAGATCACCGCGAATTGGGAACCACGACGAGTTGGTCGGGTTTACGGAGGATTTTATAAAAATTTCAGAGCTAGTTTTTGCGTACCCCGCGGTCTTTTCTCTGGATCCCGGAGCCGGCTTCTCGGTTTCAGGCTCGAGGAAACTTCTGGTCGGCGATGTTCTGCCGAGGGCTTTTTAACGAAGAACGCTCGGGGAAGCTACCAGCCTTCGAATTAACGTTGGCTGCCGCCGGGACCGAGCAGCCCACGGCTCTCCTGCCAGCGAGAGCAAACATTCCGACAAGTTGACGCGGAAACAAGCCAGCTCGAAGTACTCGATGCATATAATTGGACGCAACAGCGGCCGGGCGAACCGTGCATCGGGATCTTCTTGTGGTTCGATCAGCCAGGCTTCGATGAAATCGAAAACTACCGGCTGGAACCTCGACCGATCCCCCAGGGAATCGAGGTCACTCGGATAATTATTTACGAATTGGTACCGCCTGATCGAACCTCATTACTCGAGCCCCGGCCAAGCGACTCCTACGATTAGCATAGGTAGATTCAAATTCGTGGCGGAATTAGCAAGGAAAATTGGACCGACTGCTAATTTCTCATGAATATGCTGGGATTGACGATCGCGCGTGTCAACTGTGCCGCGTGTACGCAAGCGACGATACAATCGCCGGACCGCGGAGTTTCCACGCGAGACAAACGTTGTTCGACACGGCAAGAACAAGACACAGCGGTCAAATGGAAATTTGTTTGCTCCTTGAACAATTTTTACAGACCCCGGTGGTGCATGATATGACTTCGAAAACTCGAGATTTATGGTGCACGTGCGAGCTGTCGAGCACGAAACTGGAAAAGCAATAACGACGAAATAATAAATACGATAACAAAAACTGCGAATCGTTCGCCGAGACGAAAAACGGCTGCGTCACAAAAACCAGCTGTACGAGAACGCGTTCCATAAATACATACGCCATTTGCACGCTAAACGTTGATTTGTTTGCGTGCTAATGTCCACTACAGACAGTTTCGTAGGATATTATTGAGTGGATTACAGATTATGATAAAAATGGTGGAAAATAAAAACATATTCGGTCTTGTCATTCTTATCAAGAACACACGTTAATAGTTGTTACAGCTTGGTAGGTGTAGCGTTTAACACTGTGCAATTATTTTAGATTTGTTCTTTTACGCTTACTGAAATTATAAAGATATTTCTGAGACCGATTATTTAACAAATTCCTTTGCTCGATAATAAATTCAATCTTGTCATTCCTATCAAGCAACACATATTAATAATTGTTACGCCTTGATAGATTTAGTGTTAATACTATAACTATATAATATAATACTATATTATATTAATACTATATAATATAATATAATACTATATATTATATAATATATGCTATAATATAATACTATAACTATAATAATACTAACTTCAGATTTTTCCTTTTACAGTCACTGAAACTATACAAATATTTCTGAAATCGATTATTTAACAAACTGCTTCACTCGAGCGTACATTATAATAAAAATCGTACAAACTTTTAGTAAATTCAATCTCGTCATTGCTCCAAAGTAATACATATTATTCGCGTTTAGGACTCGGGCGTTTAGCTGTAACGTTATCAGTTTAAAAGCTGTTTAAAAGAAATCTTTATCGACGTTCGTTGGCCAACGGTGAGGACGTTACCGTGGACCGACCCTGTTTCGATCCAGGGAATCGTATTATATCGGTAGAACGCCGCGAGGAAGTTGAAAGTATACGAAGTTTACGGAAACGGCGCCGAGGACGCCGTGGAAACGCGAGCGGCGATCGTTTTCGGGTCGCCATGCAATTCCTTTCCCGTTGTCCCCTTTGAAACGGAATGCGCGAACAATCGGACGACCGGCTTTCCAGGCAGCGGGCTGGGAATGCAGTTTGCTCGAGAAAGCGCAAAGTATATATCTGGAGCAGAAAAGAGGAGAAAATGTTGCGCGAGTAGAAAACGCGGCGGGGTTCTTCTATTAATGAGAGCCGGCGCTAGACTTCGTGAAACTTTTCCGTCGATGGCTCTCGGTGCCTTCAATTTTACGCGATCGCCTGTGCGCGGTATTTGCGGCCAACAAAATTCACTTGTATAGACTGATCTTTTCGGATAATTATTTACTTATTTAACAGTCAACGTTTAATAATTTATTCGATCAATGCATTCTAACGGAAGCTGCTTTACGACTTCAATAATTATGAAGACAAAAATGTGAAACCGGTGACAGGTTTAGTGACAGGTTTAGTGTTAAACGTCGTAGATCAACCCCCAAAATTGTTACAAAATCAATGTTGCGGAAAGAAAGTGCAATCAACTTCGACAAATATTATAACAGATTGAAGATAAGTAAATGAATTAGTGAAACTGAAACCAGAACGTTTGAATTTACTATTAGACTGCGGATTTTACGCATTTATGACAAAAATGGATACTTAAAATCCAAAACAATGAAATTATTGCAAGAATTTAAGGACATCTCTGTATTATCCTCAACTAAAAAAAATGATTAAAGAAAGAATAAGATTTCTATCTGACTCCTTTTTGTAATGATCGTCGAAAGATAATTTTCACTTTACACACTCATTTGCTAATGTTACAATTATTTTGAAACATAATATAAGAAGTTTCAATGTGTCATAATAAGGGTTAACAGTACGAACGAATTTTTGAAGCTAGCACGGAACGGCACCGAAGATCAGAAGCTGCTGGAACATTAGAACAATGTTGAATTAATTCGTTACGAAAATAAATTGCTGTACGCCCTGTCAGTCTTGAAACGGTGGCATGCTCTAAGAAGATATCCGTGAGTCGATTCTAAATGGGGACCATGGCTTACGGGGTAGCTGGAAAGACGAGCCGAGTGGGCGGAGATTCCGCGGCGGTCGGTTTAAAGAAGCTCGCATGGAAAAAGGAAACTCGCGATGTAAGAAAGGTCGTTGATACGCTGAGTCAATTAGCAACGGAGTCTCGAGGGGCTCAGACGGAATCTCGTGCTTCAACGTGTTAAACACGCCGTGCCCGGCCGTTCGCTTCCTCATCGAAAGAAGAAAGAACGACGCTGCGACGACGACGCTGCGACGACGCCTCTTCGCCGCGAGCCAACGACCGATCGAACTTGACAGAGTGCCGCCTATCGGCGCAGGAACACGGAGATAAAAATCCTGCATTGTACGGCCAACATTTTCACTCGGAACAATTAAACGATAACGGGGAACACCGAGCCCGGGGCTTACGTAACCGCGAGCAAATAATTTGCGCGCGGTTTTCTTCCCGGAACGTAATCCCTGCTGAATTAAAAATGGATATTCGATGTTGATCGTTACGCTATGGGTGGAGATATTTTAAATTAACCCTCTCGGAAGTATTTCAAGCTTGCACACCGCCAGGCACAAGCTATTTTTCATTATATATTCTCATAGAAATTATCTACTAAAGATTTTTCCGT